ACCGCTGGTCGAAGAATGGAGTGATCGACCGGGTGTTTGAACACCTCCAGCGGGAACAGATCGTGCGCATCAAACTCGAAGCGGTAGCGATGGACAGCACCATCGTCAAGGTCCACCCCGATGGCACGGGCGCGCTAAAAAAACGGACCTCAGTCCATCGGCAAGTCCCGGGGCGGCTGGAGCACCAAGATTCATATGGTTGCCGCGGATGCTCGAACCGCCATAACGTTCTCGCTCTCCCCTGGACAGGCCCACGACGCGCCGGAAGGGCGTAAGCTGCTGACCCGTCTTGGCCCGCAACGCCCAGGCCTGTCCCTGTTGATGGACCGGGCATATGAGGGCAATGAGACCCGCCAACTCGCCTTGGCCTTGGGGTTCATGCCGGTGGTGCCACCCCTGAGCACCCGTGTACACCCATGGGCTTATGACCGGGAGATATACCAGAGGCGGAATCAGATCGAGCGGCTGTTCCGCCGACCGAAGGGATTTAGCCGCATCTTCTCGCGCTTCGAGAAGCTCGACGTGCTCTTCCTCGGGTTCATCTCATTCGCACTCATTCTCGATGCACTGCGTTAGTGTGAACACGCCCTAGTGCATCTGCCTACAATCACCCCGGGAGCGGATTTGCCCCGGAAATCAGAAAAATCCGAGGTAAAGGGTCTTCTCCAAACGGAGAGAACAAGTCGGATAGAGCTTGTCACGGGGTTCACCCCGGGAGCAGAAAATAGAGATTCGTGCTTGGACGACGCACGAATAGTGGACCCTGATCCGTCCGGAAAAGCGAGCCAAGTTAAACTGAGGCGAAAGCAGTCCACCAAATCCCCCTCTTTGGACATCATCCGGTCATGAACGATTACACCTCAAACCGAAAACACCCTTCCCAGCTCGACGAACTTCGACTGATCCGTTTGCCCGAAGTGCTACACGTTTGTGCAATTTCGCGATCGGCGCTTTACGACATGATCGCCCGCGGCAGTTTCCCGCGGCCGGTTCGCATAGGCTCACGCAGCGTGGGATGGCGCCTACGGGATATTCGGACGTGGCTCGATAACCGACCGCCGGCGGCCGATCCCCCCAAGAACGAAACCAGTTAGTTAGCCGCCTACCTCACGCGAAAGGAGCGGACCATGAGCGAAAACCGATTGCGGCTGGCCGCGGACCTCAGCCCCGAGCAAAAGACCATCTTGGGGCTCCTCCGTGAAGTGCCGTTTGTAAGCGTGGCGGACTTGGCGAAACGGCGTGAGCTTTTGGGGTGGAGCAGGGCAAGCATCGACAATCAGCTGCAAGGACTTTTCGACCGCGACTACGTGGATCGTGTGGAGATGGGATGGAGCCAAAAATCCAAGCGGCGGCACTACCTGATTTCGAAAGGGAACACCGCAGTGGAGAAGATCTCGGGAAAACCGACGTAATGGGGTGAAACCGAGCCAGCGCTGCGGAGATTGTCGAATCAAGGACAGTTGCTGGAGATGTCGTACGACACCACCCCGGGGCTTTTCAGCTCCGGGGCGGTGTGCACGCCGTGGCGACGCTCATTCCCTTTGGTGCGGTGGCGGTGGGTCAGCTGGGGACCCGTCTCAGCTGTAGGGGAGTACTACATGACACCCCCGGTCACGCCCTCAATGCACGGTTGATTGTGCCCTTTGCTTGGTATGGTTTCCGCCCCAAACCCAACCCGCTCCCGAAGAATACGGCCCTAGGGCTAATCGACAATTGGACGAAACCCGGTTGTGGTGGTAGGGCAAAAACAGAGTACCAGGAGGTACCGTGAAACTCTGGCAGCAAAGTGTGGTGGAAGGGAGGTATGTGATGAGTTACCAGTTGAGCAGCACTCAATGGCGGCAGGTGGAGAGTTTCCTGCCGGGGCGTCCCGGTTGGGTTGGCGTTACCGCCAAGGATAACCGAACCTTCGTCAACGGCGTCCTGTGGGTGCTGCGCAGCGGCGCCCAGTGGAAAGACCTGCCCCCGGGGTATGGCAACTGGAAAAGCGTCCACAAACGTTTCACCCGCTGGGCCAAGTCTGGAATCTGGGAGAGGATCTTCCAAGTGTTGCTGGATGACCCGGACAACAGATACGTGATGATTGATTCCACCATAGTGCGGGCCCATCAGCAAGCAGCCTGTGGCAAAGGGGGGCCAAAGTGAGGCTCTGGGCCGCTCCCGCGGCGGACTGAGCGCCAAGATCCATCTCCTGGTTGATACCCAGGGGCGCCCGGTGCGTTTCTCTCTTACCGGGGGTCAGCGGGCGGATGTCTCCCAAGCCATACCTCTGCTGACCGGTATCGAGACTGGGGCCGTCATAGCCGACAAGGGGTATGAAAGCAACCGCCTACTGGCCTTCATCCGGGACCAGGGAGCGGAAGCGGTCATACCGCCCAAGTCAAACCGGAGGGACCCTTGGGAATATGACCGGGAACTGTATCGGGAGCGCAACCTGATTGAGCGAGCCTTCAACAAACTGAAGCAGTGGCGCCGAATCGCCACCCGTTATGATCGCAGGAGCTTGTATTTTCTGTCAGCCCTGCACTTGGTAGCCTCTGTCATCTGGGGTTAGCAATTGTCGATTAGCCCTAGTACGCTGGCGGGGCAGCGCAGTGGTGGGTTGAGGCTGCCATAGACCGCCGCAACATTGAGAGGGTAACACGGCACGGACGCCGGGAATTATGATTCCAGCGCCCGCGCCACCCGGCGCTCCTCACCGAGGACGCCGCCGGGGCGCAGCAGGATAACCACCACGATCAGGACGCCGATCATCAGGAACCGCAGGTTGGGATTGGCGAAAACACCGGGAAGAAATTGCGTGCCAGACCAGATGCCCCAGACCAGAAACGCTCCGAGGACGGCGCCGCGGTTGTTGCCGGATCCACCCACCATCAGCATCGACCAGATGATGAACGTTGCCAGGAGTGGGTCGAAGGTGCCGGGCGACAGGATCCGAAAGTGATGGGCAAATAGCCCACCGCCGATTCCCATGATGACCGCGCCCAGGATGAACGCCTGGAGCTTGAATCTGAACACGTTTTTGCCGCTGGCCTCGGCAGCCACCTCGTCCTCGCGGATTGCCCGCAGCACTCGACCCCACGGAGAACGCACCACCTGCTGAATCGCGGAGTAGAGGATCGCCAGAATGACCAGAACGACCACCACGTACAGATAGTCGTAGTGTTCGGGGGCCACCAGTTCACCCAGGAACTTGGGAATCCGATACAGGCCCTTGGACCCGTTGGCGATCCATTTCTCATTGAGGAAAAACAGCCGCACGGTCTCGGCAATGCCCAGGGTGGCGATGGCCAGGTAATCGTCTCGGAGACGCAGCGTAACGTAGCCGATAATCAGGGCGATTATGCCGCATACCAGGGCCGCGGACGCCAGACCCAGGAAGAACCACAGGTCGAAACCCAGGTCAAGATAGAACAGTTCGGCCCAGTTGCCGCCGAATTTGAAATCCTCGAACAGCGTCAGGTCCGGCGGGCGGGTGGTCAGCAGTGCAGCGGTGTAGGCTCCGACGGCGAAAAACCCGGCGATGCCGATATTGAACAGCCCGGTGAAGCCCCAATGAACGTTCAGGCCCAGAGAGAACACCGCATAGATCCCGGCCATGATGGTGAAACCTACGAGGTTATTAAAGATGCCTATAATTTCCATAACTTACATACACCGGAGTTTCCACTTGGCGGCGCTCCTCGCCATGACGGGGATGGGCAGTCGCAATGAACGTTCAGGCCCAGAGAGAACACCGCATAGATCCCGGCCATGATGGTGAAACCTACGAGGTTATTAAAGATGCCTATAATTTCCATAACTTACATACACCGGAGTTTCCACTTGGCGGCGCTCCTCGCCATGACGGGGATGGGCAGTCGCGTCGGACCAGAAAATCGAAAGGCCCTGGGATTCGCTGGGGAAGTTTGTAATTCAGCAACCATTTCCAATCTCTTCCCGCGATCATTAATCCCTGGACCCACCGAAAATTCCACGCGGTCGGACCAGCAACACGCCGATCATAATTGCGAAGGCGATGGCTGGCTTGTAGCTGGGATTGATCCACTGGGTCGAGACCTCGGAGGTAACCCCGATCACGAATGCGCCCACCAGAGCGCCGTAGGGGTTGCCGATGCCACCGAGGATTACGGCGGCGAAAAGGGGTATCAGGAAGCGCCATCCCATGATGGGGAGTAACTGCGCCTGGAACACGGCCAGCAGAACCCCGGCCGTGGACGCCAGCACTGCTCCCATCGCCCACGTCCACCAGATGACCCGACGGGTGTCGATACCGCTGACGAGGGCAAGATCGGGGTTGTCGGCGGTGGCCCGCATGGCCTTCCCCATCCTGGTGCGATTCAGAATGAGGTATACGGCCACGACGAGCATGACAGTGACGACCGCGATGAATATGGCGTCGGGCGGGATACGAACGTCCATCGGGAGGTGGTAGACCGGTTTAGATTCCCGGGCATAGTGCTGCGTGCTGCCGCTCCAGATGACCTGCACGAGTCCGCGCAGGGCGATGGCAACACCCAGCGACGCCATCGCCAGCACCACGGCGTTGACACCCCGGTTCCTGAGGCGGCGGTAGATTGCGACGTCGAGGATGATGGCGCCGACGGCAACGATGGCCACCGCAAACGGCAGGGCAATGAGCAGGGGGTATCCGAAAGTGAAGGGACCCAGCCCACTGCCTTCGATGCCAATTCGGGGGAGCAGACTGCCCATGATGAAGAGCGCCATATACGCCCCCATGGTCATGTAATCGCCGTGGGCGATGTTGGCGAAATTGAGGATGCCGTATATCAGCGTTAGTCCGACGGCTCCCAGGGCGATGATGGCCCCCAGGAACATGCCGTTGACCACCAGGCCCATCTTGACAAAGGGCAGGAATCCGATTGGCACGGCCAGGAACACAATTGCAATGGCAGTGTGGCCCGGTGACCATGCCAGAAGGAGACGCCTGATGATGTCCTGCGGGTATGATGGCAACGGCGGGTTATCCCCCAAGCGGGTTATCCCCCAAGGTAGAGGGTGGCAACTTCTGGGTTGTCGAGCAGATGTGCGCCGGTGTCCTCGAGGCGGTTCTCGCCGGCGACAAGGATGTATCCGCGGTCGGACATTCTGAGGGCTTCCCGAGCGTTCTGTTCGACGAGGAGGATGGACACGCCGGTTTGGTTGATCTCGCGAATGCGCTCGAACACGGTTCCCATGATGGCGGGCGAGAGCCCGGCAGAAGGTTCATCCAGCAATACCAGGACTGGATCCAGCATCAGGGCGCGGGCGATGGCGAGCATCTGGCGTTGACCACCAGACAGGCTGCCGGCCTTCTGCCCCGGGCGCAGCGCCAGATCGGGGAAGAGGTCGAACATCTCGGCGATTCGGCTTCGAGGATCGCCGCGGCGCACGAATCCGCCCATCTCGAGGTTTTCCCGAATGGACATGGACGGAAAAACATTATTGGTCTGTGGGACGTAGCACAGCCCGTTGCGGACAATCTGTTCGGGAGGCCGGTCGGAGATGTCGGAGCCGCGGAACAAAACGCTGCCAGTGCGGACCTTTACCAACCCCACGATGGCCTTCATGAGAGTGGATTTTCCGCAACCGTTTGGCCCGATGATGGTAACCACCTCGCCTTCACCGACCACCACCGAGACGCCGTGGAGGATTTCAGTCTCGCCGTATCCCGCCACCACGTCGGAAGCCTCAAGCAGCGCCACGGTGGGATCCTCCCAAATAAGCTTCCAGAACCTGGGGGTCTTGCTGCACCTGGGTGGGGGTTCCCTGGGCGATGACTGCCCCGTTGGCCATGACGATGATGGGATCGCAGAGGTGCATGACGAACTGCATGTCATGTTCGATGATAATGAACGTGATGCCGCGGTCGACGCTGGCGCTGAGGATGTTGGCCGACAGGTCGCGCAGCAGGGTCCGGTTGACGCCGGCTGCCGGCTCGTCGAGCAACACCATCTTTGGCTCGGCCATGAGGGTTCGGGCCAGCTCCAGCAGTTTTTTCTGGCCCGATGACAGGTTGCCCGCGTACTCGTTGGCCAGATGGGACAACTTGACGAAATCCAGCACGTCAAGCGCCTGCGCCTCGACGCAGCGTTCCTGCCGTTCTACTCGCCAGGGCATAAACCAGGGTGCCCAGATGCGCTCGCCGAGTTGAAGAGCCGGCACCAGCATCAGGTTTTCCAGTACCGTCATGCGCTTCATTTCACGGGGAATCTGGAAGGTGCGCATCAAGCCCAGACCGAACGTCTGATGCATTCGCAAACCGTCGATGCGGTGGCCGTCGAAGATAATCTCGCCGCTGGAAGGGGCGATAGCGCCCGACACGAGGTTGAACAGGGTGGTCTTGCCGGCTCCGTTGGGACCGATGAGACCGGTGATGGCTCCCGGCATGACCTGAAAGGTGCACTGATTCACAGCCCTCAGTCCGCCGAAATCCTTGACCAGGTTCCTGACTTCGAGAATGGGAGTTGTATCCGTCACGATGTCGTCGGCACGCTCGGAGCGGGAGTTGCTGCGCGAGTCCTGGGTGGGGACACTCCCGAAGGGTGTTGTGGGAACGCCCGTCCGGCGACGCATGGCGCGCCACCGGACGGAGTGAGCTCAGTGGGTCAGGCCACCGGGACTTCCTGGAAATGCGGCATAACTTCAGTCGCGAATAGCTCGATGGAGCGCATTACCTTTTCGTGGGGGAGGCCGGCGAATCCGAAGTTGCCGAAAACGTGGTTGATGCCCGCTTCCTGAACCTGCTTCAAGCGCTCGATCACCACCTCGGGGGTGCCGCGCAACGGCGGCAGGCCGGCGTGGCCCGGGTCATCGCGACGTTCGCGATCCTGCTGGCGATTGGCCCAGTGCTCGTAGCCTTTCGCGATGTTTCCATTCTTGTCCATGGGCATTCCGATGGGGGATCCGTTGCTGCCTATGGAGCGCAGGATGCGGGACGAGAAATCCTCGAGGCCGATGGGGTCTCGCTCGGCTTCCTCCATGGTGGGGGCAACGTAGATTGACTTGGACATCGGCGGGTCCAGGTGGGCGTGCGGGTGCCCGTATTCATCCATCTTCTGGCGCCACAGTTTGATGACCTCGGGGGCCTGGCCGAGGATGTCGGTGGGGCCGCCGGTGATCACCTGTATCTGTCGGCTGGCGGCGAAGTCGATGCTGGCCGGGCTGGTGCTGACCGCCTGGAACAGCGGAGGATGGGGTTGTTGGACGGGCTTGGGCAAAACCCAGACAGTCGTCGACGTTGGTGAATTTGCCGTGGTAGGTAAGTGTCTCCTCGGTCCATGCCTTGATGATGACGTCGACGGACTCCTGGAAGCGGTCGCGGCTGGTGTCGATATCGACGCCAACGCCTTCAAACTCCTGGCGCTGGTAGCCGGAGCCGATACCAAAATTGAACCGACCGCCACTGATGACGTCCAGCATGGCGGCCTCTTCTGCCACCAGAACGGGATTGTGCAGGGGCAGGACGATTACGGCGGTGCCGATGCGTATGTTGGTGGTTCGCCCGGCTACGGCGCCCAGGAAGGACCAGATTCCCGAGAGCAAGCCATGACGCGAGAAGCGGTGCTCGCCCAGCCAGGCTTCGTCGATGCCGGCCTGATCCGCGAATGTGATTTGCTCCAGAGCGTCGTTCAATGCCTGTTTCTGGGTAAAGTCCTGGTGGTAAGGGACGATGGTAAAGATTCCGAACTTCATGTGGCCTCCCTATTCAGGCGCCGATGGGCGCCCACTGGTACTACTCGCCGCCGTTCCACTGGCGGTTGGGGCGGTGTTCGCCCGGTGTTCGTGGCGCAACTTTACTACAGTGACGGAGTGAATGAAAAGGACGCAAAGTGGGGGGTAACTGTTCAGAGTTGAAGGTAGTGTCCTGGCCCCAACCTGTCTTTCCCGCGCAAGCGGGAATCCAGGGAGCCGAGGATAAGCAACATTGCGGTTAAAAGGCGTCTCTGGATTCCGGCTCAAGGCCGGAATGACGGAGTGGTATGGAAATCACACGTCTAGTCTGAACTGTTACAGAGGGAGTTGCGATTGGGTTTGGATGGCCCGGGCCGGAAAGGGGGAGGGGATTGCCGCGATGGTATGATCGCTGGGAATGACGGGGAAGCAGAGTGATCCTTCGACAGGCTCAGGATGCGCGGTGGTTCACGCTCACCCAACCCACTACCATCAAGGGAGTGGTGACAGGCGTGGCGTGGCGATACTGGCATGTGTTGGTGCTATTCGTAATCACAGGAGGCTGCGCTCTTCGCAGCAATTACAAATGACCTACATGCCGGTAGCCGGCTAGCTACCCGAAAAGGAGATAATATGCCGCCGAACCTGGTTCCCTATTTGCTATACGAGCCCGAAGAGTCGGGAATACTGTGGATCAAGTTCAACCGACCGGAACGCATGAATGCCCTGATCGGCTCATCTGAGGAGAATGGCACCGTGGCCAAGGTGGGTGAATACATGCGCGCTGGCGACGACGATCCCAACGTGCGCGTCATAGTCCTGACCGGCATGGGGAGGGGATTCTGCTCGGGTGCAGACATGAGAAGGGATACGCCAGACGATGTCAGGGGCGAGAATTTCGTGGGCAATCGCAGCTCCACCGAAGGACCTGACGCGCCGCGCGAGCACTTTTTCCACGGGTTTACCAAGTTGCACCGAGACATATCCTTGATCAGGAAGCCAACGATAGCCATGGTCAACGGTCCCGCGGTTGGTTCGGGGATGGATATGGCGCTCCACTGCGATATTCGCCTGGGCTGCGAGAACACGCGGTTCATCGGCTACCAGCAGTTGGGCCAGATCATCGAGAACGGAGGCAGTTATTATCTTCCGAAGATGGTGGGTCTGGGCAGGGCGCTGGAGTTCGCGTACACCGGGCATCTGGACGCCCAGAGAGCCTACGAGTGGGGCATGCTGAACTACCTGGTTCCTGCCGAGGAGCTGGAGGAGACGACGCGCGGATTGTGCGACCGGATCATGCGGACGCCTCCGATGGTGCAGTGGATCAGCAAGCGGATCATGCGTTCCGCGCTGGACAGCTCGCTGGAAACGACAATGGTGCTGACGTCCAACGCCGGCGGCATCCTAAACGGCTCGGAGGACGCCCGGGAGGCGAGACAGGCGTTCCTGGAAAAGCGCCCGCCGACTTTCGAAGGCCGGTAAAATCCGCGCAAACCGGCATTCGAGTAGTCGCCAGCGGTGGGAGCGGGTTGATCCGTGGCCGAGCAGAACTTCTTGACCACCAACGGGGGTTAGCCGATGGACAGGCTCTGACCGAACCGCTCACCGTGGGTTATCTCGGACATGGGTTTGCGGGGTGTTCCGCCGCTTCTGGCGCCGGCTGCGCGGTGCCCGAAGGGCAGCACGGTGACCAGCTCGAGTTCCTCCGGTATGCCCAGGAGGTCTTTGACTTCCTGCTGCTGCTCGCCTCTGATGCCAACGAAGCAGGTACCGAGGCCCTCGGACCAGGCCACCAATTCCATCTGCTGGAGGGCTCGCCCGGCATCGAGTTGGGCGCGCCGGGCGCCATCCATCACGATGGCTATGGCGACGGGCGCCTGGCCGATGAACGCGCCCTGGGTGCAGATACGGCTCAACTCTTCGATAGTTTCCTTTTCCCTGACGACGACGAAATGCCAGGGTTGAGTGTTGCTGGAACTGGGCGCCCAACGGGCGGCTTGCAGCATTTTCAGGATGACGGTATCGGACACCGGCTCTGACGTGAATTCCCGCACGGTGCGGCGTGTCCTGATGCAATGGAAAACGTCCATACCCAAACCTCCTGGAGGATGCTGGTTCTGTATATAACGGTGATGCCTGACTGCGGCCGGCGAATCGATCCGGAGAGCCAGTGTGGACAGACGGGCAGGGACACTGTACCTGTTGCCAATATTTCCGGCAAGACGAGGAATGTGGGCCGCGGTTCAACGCGACGGCCGGCGATGCCGTGGCTGTCAACGCCAGGATCGCCGGATGATCTGGCCGCAAGCGGCCTGGTCTGGTTCCGGTTGACGGAGCCGTGAGCGCAACGTAGACTCCGCACTTAGAAAAGGGCCGGTTTGGAGCGCGCGCGGAACGGCATTGTCCCGGCTGGGACAATGCCGGCGCGACTTGACCGAGGCCCAGAGTATCAAACGAAAGGATTTTATTGATGAAGCTGCAGATCATGTCTCCCGCTGCGGATCGCGTCGATTTCAAAGTGCCGCCGGCCCCACGCCTGGAGACGCTGGAAGGCAAGACGATTGGGCTCTATAACAACATGACGGGCGGCGCGGACGTGGCCGTCAACCGGGTTGCGGAACACATTGGCCGCCGTTTCCCCAACGTCAAATTTGAACGATATGGTGGCGAGGTCAGATCGGGCCGTGTAGCGCTGAGCCGGGGCAACCACATCGACGATGAGGAAGCCGCGCTTATCGCCGGGGAAGTTGACGCGATGATTGGCGCCACTGCTCATTGAGGGGGCTGTACGTCGTGGCTTGCCCACGACATGGTTGCCATGGAAAAGGCCGGTGTTCCGGTGGTAGGCATCGCGGCGCGCAGTTTCGCCCGGGCCTGGCAATCCTGCGTAGACGGTTGGGGTCAACCCAGCACGGCATTCGTAACGATCCCCCACGCCACGTCGGGCCAGCAGGCCGACTACATCTGCAGGATGGTGGACGAGCAGATCGAAGACATCATCCTGGGGTTGACCAGCCTGACCGCATTGCCGGCTCCACGGCAGAGGGCGAGGAACGGAAACCAGGGCACAGAGATGTTTACGGTGGAGCTGGACGAATCACCGCTGGGCCTTGACGCGGTCAACCTGTTTCTGGAAGAGCGTGACTGGAGCGACGGTATGCCCGTCATTCCGCCCACGCCGGCAGCCGTCGAGGCGATGCTCAAGGGAACCAGGCGCAGCCCGCAGGATGTGGTGATGGTCATGGAGCCTGGCTTCGGCCTGGCGACCGTGGAGAAGATAGCCATCAACGCGGTGATGGCGGGATGCAGCCCCGAACAGTTTCCCGTCCTGCTCGCCGCCATCGACTGCATTGCACAACCGGAGATGAACCACCGGGACATGCAGGTATCGGGCCACACGGAAGCGCCGCTGATTCTGGTGAACGGACCCATCACCGAGAAGGCCGGGATCAACTTCGGTACATCCGCTATGGGACCGGGCGTGGTCAACCGGCCAAACACCGCCATCGGGCGGGCGCTGCGACTCTGCCTGATTAACATCGGGTACTGCAAGCCGGGCGCCGGAGACCCCAATTTCATTGGGTTGCCGACCAAGTTCGGGATGTGCATCGCGGAGAATGAGGCGCTAAGTCCGTGGCAGCCCTACCACATGGACAAGGGGTACAAGCACGAAGAGAGCGCGGTAACAGTCGTTACGGTAACGGGTCCGACGGACATTCTCGATTCCAACTCGAAGAACCACCACGACACTCTGGACAATATTGCCTCCATGATGTTCTATCGCCACGCGGGCGCAGGAAGCTGGATCCGAGGTCGGCAGTCGGCGCAGGTGGGCCATACCAACAAGCGCGTGGAGTACCAGGGCCCCTACCATCCCATCATGCTCAGTCCCTCGCGTGCGGTTATTCTGGCCGAGGCAGGGATGAGCAAACAGGACACCCAGGAGTGGTTGCACGAGAATTGCCGCGCTCCGCTGAGTGAAGCCCTGGGATCGCGCGGGATGCCCAAGGATGCGGACGGAAAATGGCTTTCGCACCCTGAGTTACAGCACTTGGAAAATGATCCGGACGCCACGATCCCGGCGCTGGAAAGCCCCGAGCAGTACTTGCTGTTCGTGACCGGAGGATCAACTCACTACGCCAATTTCTTCTACGGCACTTACGGCATCGCAACGGTCCCGGTTGAAGATGTTTAGCGACTGGCAGGTCGCCCTTCGAGGAGTGGTATGCCCAGGTTAGCGGCTGACAAATACGAAACCATAGTCAAGAAACCCGATGACATGGACGAATTCTGGGAAGATGTGCTGGCGGAGACCGCCAGGATTCCGCTGGAACCGGAAGTGGTTCACGATCCGCTGCGGTCATCTGAAGAGATCGATGTG